GGTTGTCGTGGGCCGGGTGCATCTTGTGAAGGCAGACCACCAACCCGTGGCAGTTCTGCATGTGGAAGACCACCAGCTGGTCCACACCGCTCGTCACACTCACCCCCGTCACCTGTTGGGATGAAAAACCACAAGGTTCCACTTCTCTCCAAAACCAAGGGAAGGGATGAATGTCTATATCGGGGTTCCTCAGTGTGGCGCCTAGGGGTTCCAGGCAGTGTTCCTGTGACGCCCTCCTTATTGGGGAGGACTAGTTTTACTTTAAAAGTTCTCTTTATTTTGTTTAACTGGGTAGATTCTGCTGCCACCAGGAAATTTTAAGGATTTCCAAACCTTTATGTTTTTACTTTTGCTCTTAGTAGTTTGGTAGACCGAGTTTAAGGCTTACGAGGAACTATGTGGTCCTGGGAAGTATTTCATTTAGAGCTGGTATAAACTTGGATAAAAGAGGATTTATTGAAATAAATACTAAATGAGAGGGTGATACAATGGAACTAGTAATGTGTAAATGATGTACAATTGCTTTGGTATCACTCTCAATCTTATCCCTCACTGACAGGGATCTTTTCGTGTAACTTTGTAACACTTGTTTATCTCAGTGCCATATATGTTCACTGCTTCACTCCAGTTTGTTATGACACACAGACTTTCCTTTAACTTTTCTTCACTTAAACTTTCCTTTACTTTTTCCTATTCACTCAGCTTTCAGCTCTCTCTTTCTCACTGAACAACCTCAGCTGTCAGCTTCTAATTGCTTCAACACAGAACTAACTGTCTACATCAACTGTCAACTTGTAACTGAAACTCCTGACTGACTCACATACTCATCCAACCAGATTCACTTCCAAAACCCCTACCCCTCTCTTTCAACCACCAATCATACCACACTTGCCTCTCTCAACCACTCTAGTCTATTTATCACAGCCATGCAACCAAACTTTTAAAGAGACACACACACACAAAAACAAGGAATCGTTACAGTTCCCTTCTAAGCTGAGTTAGTGTGAGCTAGCTCACAGTTTTTTAGCTTCCGGCTCACACGTCTCAGGTCGAGTTCTTTCCCATCACCTTCTGCCCGGCCCTTTCAACTGGAGACGCCGGGGATCGAACCTGGGACCCTTCTGCATGCCAAGCAGAGCCACTGAGCCACAGCCCCTCCCTGTTCTGAGGGCTTTTGATTCCTAGACTGCATTCCCAGAATCCCGGCACAGACCCCTTTGACCTCCTCCTTGCCCCCTCTCGCTGGAAGGGCAGGCTCACCATCTTCAGAGGAATGGACGCCATCACCCTGTACTGCTTCCTTGGCTCCATCTTGTACAGGTGCCGGTCTGTGATGAGAAGCGCTCGGTCCGTACTCTTGTTGCAGTGGTTTATCTGCCAGTGATTGTTGGGAAAAGCAGGATAAAGGGAAGAAGGAAATGGAGCGGACAACGGAAGTGAGTGACCGGGCCATCAACCACAGAGACCCAAAAAGACATTATCACAGTCAGGCTGACTTTTCAGTTCCCGTCTAAAGTTTAATTTGTCGTCGAAGGCTTTCACGGCCAGAGTTCATTAGTTGCTGTAGATTTTCCGGGATGCGTGGCCGTGGTCTTGGCATTGTAGGACCTGACGTTTCACCAGCAGCTGTGACTGGCACCCTCAGAGGTATAACACAGAAAGATGGAGTACTCTCTGTGTCAAGGTGAGAAGAAAATGGTAGGCAGGTAATTTATATCTACTCAGGAAGGTGGGGTAGGGCTGAGTCATTGTCTTGTAGGAGTTCCCCCAGGCTGTGGACATGCTAATGGAGGAGCTTTCCTGAGGAGGTTCTTTTGTTTCCTGAGGAGGTTTCCTGCTTCCTGAGGAGGTTGTTGAAATTCTAATCTTATCTGTAGATATAAGTTTACTCAGGGCTCTTTTTGTAGAAAAAGCCCAGCAGGAACTCATTAGCATAATAGGTCATACCCAACAGCAGGAACTCATTAGCATATTGGGCCACACCCCTGACAGCACAGCTCATTAGCACATTAGGCTAATGTTACCAGAAGTGTCGTCATCCAGCCACACCCACCTTTTGCTTCTTATTCTGTTTACCTTGTTTGTTGTCAAAACCCGGGGGGTTTTGCATGTTAGACCACACACCCAATCCTAATGTAGCCAATCCTAATGAGTTCCTGCTGTTGGGTGTGGCCTATTATGCTAATGAGTTCCTGCTGGGCGTGACCAACTTGGGAGCCAGCCGGAACTCCGTTCCTGTGCGTTCCTGCCCAAAAATAGCCCTGAGTTTACTGCCTACCATTTTCTTCTCACCTTGAGACAGAGAGTACTAGGTGGCGAGCTAGGCTTGTTTTTAGGGGCTGAGAGAGCTCTGAA